TCTGGGTTCGAACTGGATGTCGTACTCACTTAGCTCCATTGCCCACTTCATCAGGCGTCCAGAAGCTTCTAGCTTATGGAAGATGTTTTTTAGGGGCAAGGTAGTGAGCACCACCACAGTATGGGCTTGGAAGTATGGTCTAAGCCGTCGGGCCGAGGTGACTAAAGCGAGAGCCAACTTTTCCATCTGAGGGTATCTAGTCTCGGCTTCGGTCATAGCCTTGCTTGTGTAGTAGACCGGGTTTTGTCGCGCTTCCTCTTGCCTGATTAGGGYCGAGCTGACGGCACTGTCAGACACTGCTAAGTACAACTGGAGCTTGTCCCCTGGCAGGGGCTTGGCGAGCAAAGGTGCCGAACAGAGGTAGCTCTTCAATTGCTAAAATGCTTGTTCGCACTCTGCTGTCCATTCAAACGGCCCTTTCTTTCGTAGGACTTTGAAGAAAGGGAGGCACTTATCTGTCGATCTTGAAACAAACTGGTTCAGGGCTGCAATCCTGCCATTGAGGCACTGAAGCTGTTTCAACGTTTTGGGTGCCTCCATCTCGAGCATGGCTTTAATCTTTTCGGGGTTGGCCTCGATCCCCCGGTGGTTCACCATGAAGCCAAGGAATTTTCCCGAAGAGACTCCAAAGGCACATTTAGCTGGGTTGAGCTTCATTTGATATGTCCTTAGAACCTCGAAGGCTTCGGTCAGATCGGAAAGATGCGACTTAGACCGCTTGCTCTTGACGAGCATGTCGTCCACATAYACTTTCATATTCCGGCCGATCTGCTTGGCGAACATTTTGTTCACCATTCTGTGGTAGGTCGCTCCTGCGTTCTTTAAACCGAAGGGCATGACCTTGTAACAGTACAGACCTTGGTCTGTTATGAATGCGGTATGATCTTGATCTGGGACATGCATCTTGATTTGGTTGTACCCAGAGTAGGCATCCATGAAGGTGAGCAGTTCGTGCCCGGCTGTGGCGTCCACGAGCTGATCAATCCTCGGCAKTGGGAAGCAATCTTTCGGGCATGCCTTATTTAAGTTCGTAAAGTCTACGCACATTCTCCACTTTCCGTTAGATTTTTTAACTAATACAACATTGGAGAGCCACTCGGGATATGAAATTTCTCTTATGTATTTAGCTTTCAAAAGTTTGCTAACTTCCTCAATAATTACATGACTCCTCTCCTTGTTTATAAGTCTTCTTTTTTGTTTTACAGGTCGGAATGACGGATCTATGCTGAAGCGATGCGTCATAATCTTCGGGTCAATGCCAGGCATGTTTTCATGGGACCACGCAAAGACGTCCGAGTTGGATCTGAGGAAGTGGATTAGCTCCTCTCTGTCGGTGGCCCCCAGCTT